ACTCTGAGGAACACAGACGGGCAACATACCGAAGGGATCCCACACGTTGCAGTGGGTTCGTCATGTTAAGCCCAGAAACGTCGCCTGTCTAGATCGATAGCTTATAAGTATCAACATGATCCTGTTGCTAACAGACCTAAGCTTTGACAGGGATCCTCTCCACATTTCATGTTGTGCTGAGCCCCCTGTCGCTATGAAAATAATCGCTTCCAAAAACGTGAATGGTCTTCATCTTGGCATGCTGGCTGGTATCCTGGGAAAAGCAGAATACAGGGGTACCCAGTATTGAATCACTCATTCTTGAGCTCAACAATACCTAATTGTAGTGAGTCAACAAGTTCTTCCAAGTTGAAATTATTAATCTCACCTGTATCAAAAATGAGTTCGAGGTTAATCGTTGAGCTTGCGTGCTCAGCTTCCCTCGGGAAAGCTTCCCGGCTTCCATCCGCGACCTAGCGTAACAATGGGGAAAAGAGCTCGCGTTGCGAATCGATCTGCCAGGGAGGAAACGTTCCTACCAGGCAAGCCCCGGGTGGGATGGGAGGGTCGACGACATTTGAACGACACCCAGCACCATAGTGCTGGACGCCAACTTGCTTCGATGAGCACAAGGGTGACGTGGCTTGACTTGCACGCACGTACATTCACGCAGCGGACTATCTTGGATTTCCCCTCGACACACTGAGTGTATCAAGCACTAAAGCTTCCCGGTACCTGTTGACACATGAGTGTGTCGAAGAGTGGCCCCTATAGATAACACAAGTCTTCAAATGCGCCATAGTTTGGTGTAGGTCTAGTAGATTGTTATTGATATAGTGAAGACGTCTGAATCATCATAGGAGGAGATCTAGAGCCGCTTACGTGTAATCATAAGTGGTACGTGTGCACCAAGGTATTGTAAGTATCGCAGGTTCTCAAATTATGGCAACAGGTTGCAACACTCCCGGCCGGACAAGGGATAACAAGTCACGAAGGCGAACCTTCGTCAAAATCTTATTTGGAGGTATCCCTCTTCTAATTCAGAGGATAAGAGTTGCAATTCCAGAAGCTTGTTCTCGTGAAGAACTCAAAAGCGCAACAAACAGTAGCTATGGTCCCTCTTAAAACCCTCCACCGAGTCTGTTCTGCTGGCCGATAAGTTAGACCGCTTGGCAGGTCAGATTTTACATCCAACATTTTTTTTAGAACTTAGCGGAGCGTTGCGGCAGTGAAATCACCTCAGTAACGAGAGGCTACGCAAAACTGGAACGCATCACGCAGAGCACACAATCTGCACGTGCGCACGCAGACATGCGTGCAACATACGTGTGCGACCATCCCATGGAGCTTAACCTTACGATTCCTTGTTTCCACGTGGAACAGCGATGCACTACTGGCCTGGTGCGTTTTAACGTACTCTGCGGAGACGTATATCCGACTACGTTCAACGTAGTACGTTGCATAGTCTACTTGTTGATTCGGCACAATGGGACATGATGCAAGGAAGAGACATGTATAATCCCGGCGGGACTTGAACCCGCAACCTTCGGCTCCGGAAACCGACGCGCTTCCATTGCGCCACGAAATCTCCGATAGCTAAAGGTATAAACGCATGCCACCGTTGAGAACCTACAGGGTGGCTTACTTTGATGGGAGACTCTCATCGATCAGTTCTCAATTTGAATGGACATGATATAATGTATGGACGAAGAGGAAGTCAGACAGGGACATAGATAGCTCAGGTTCACCACGTCAGCGGTTCATTCTGTCTAGAAGAAAGTCTGGGGCTTGTCGCTCCAAATCGGTACTCAGTCCGCAGTTACTCGATCAAGTGCAGAGAAGACATGGGCAGGTACGAATGAGGTTTGAACTCGGCGAATTCAATTCGCACATGACGCTCGCACGTCGGCACTCGAGCATGCCTCGAGCATGCCGAGCACTAACTCGTACTCGATAAATGCCACGAGCCCATATCGAAACTACGATCATTACAGGTTCAGAAATTGTTGTGGTTCACAACTTGTGGACTTTCAATGCAAAATTTACATTGCAAATAGAGGAAAGAAAGCATCATACAAGATGTGTACCAAGAAGGCTGCCTTCTGAAGGCATAACGCAAATTGGGTTACTCAATTACACCTCAGGTTTAACTTGGAAAAAGTTGACCCTCCCTCAACGGATACTCTGGCGTCTTTTTAGGATACTGCATCATGCAACGTCGAATCAAAGACTTCCCGAATGTCAGTGCTAATCAAGGATAAGCACCATTCAGAATGATCGCTCGTGGGCAGTATTCTGAGGCCCGTTGTGCGGGCCACCTAATTGTACTTCCGTGCGA